TGCATTCTCCACGCTCAAGGCTAACTCTTAGAACAAATTTGAAGGGAAATGGTGAAGAAAATGGAAGGATGGAGATTCCTTATATAGAAAGAGGAGGAAGGAGAAGACACAGGATGCTGAGTCAAGTATCCAATTAGCCAATCTTCAAATAGCGGAAATCAACTTCTGCGAGACTTACACGTCATTCCCTGATTGGGACTAATTTTGGTCCCAGTCAGGGTACACTTTTTGGTCCAACTTTCTCCGAATTGGAATCTGATTGAAATGTGAGGGTCAGACTTTCAAACTCTACACAAAGATGTAATTTTTATTATTTATTGACAAACTTTATAAATCACTTATTTTTGGGTCCTTTTCAGTTATTAATTAATTATCAATTGATTAATTCTGATAGACCTATTATCGGGGCGTTGCATAAGAAGTACCGGGCATCTAACATAGGGAATCTATCACAAATTTTCATAAACTTTCATGGGCGAGTTAGAGAGTTGGCAAATGAGGCTGAAAGGCTTGGTGAACTAATTACAGAAAACAGACTTGTGTTGAAAGTTCTACGTTCTCTTCTAGAAAAATACTCTATGAACGTCAAAGCTATTAGACAAACACAATCTCTTAATACTATGTCCCTTGATGAGTTGATGGGGAACTTAGAAACCATTGAGTTGGAGATGCATGAGGATCTATGACGCAAGAAGCAGCGTGTCATTCCCGTTGAAAAAAAAAGCAGTGTATTAAAGACAGTGCTGGAACATACTGTACTTTTCCAACTTTCTACCGTGATCACGATGAGTGTGATGGTGACTTTGATCCAAAGGAGATGCTTATAATTGTTGAAGAAAAATTTCAAGAGTGTCTACGGGTCAACAAGACAAAATGTTTGGAAAATGATAGTCTCAAACGTGAACTTGCTGAATCAAAACGCGATGTTGAACAACTCACTAAAGAGTTACAAAGATAAAAAGGTAAAGTTACAACAGAGGATGACACAGAAGATGACACAGCAGAAGAGCTAGCTATTCTCCAAAGAAAGTGGGTAGAACTTCTTCAAGCCAACAAAAAAAACTGTCATGGAGAACCATCATCTTGTTGCCGAGCAAAATAGACCCAAGGAGGATATTTCAGAATTAGAAAAGAAGATTGAAAAATTAGAAGGGAAACAATCCGATCTAAAGTATGAATTAAATCAACTAAAAAACTATCACAAATGGATGAGGAGTGCTGGAGCAAAAGCTATTGAGGGACAAGTGAATATTTCAAAATTTTATGGAGACAACACGGGTCTCGAATTTTCAGGTTCCGAAAGCAACAAGACCCCACTTGACTTGTTTGTTGATCAAAGAAAGGAAATTGCTCAAAAGGTCCCACAAAGAAGAAAAATAGAAGTTGCCAAATCTGCTGGAACATCTTCTTCCAGACCCATTGAAGCATCTCACATAGCTTCTGCTCGAACATCTTATGTAGTACCCTATGTAAAAAGGAAATGAGTTGTGACCCAATCTAGTATGAGAAGACACATGGATCATTATCCTAAACCTGTAAGGTGTTCTTATACTAATGTCTATGCTAATTATGCTTGTTTTTGCTGTGGAAAAAGGGAACACATTCAAAGGAAATGAAAGATTTTTATAGAGCAAAGATATAGAAAAAAGAATGTGACAACAAGGATGGTTTGGATACCTAAAAATAAGAACAAAACAAATGATAATCCTTGTGTGAAGGATGTTGCTTCTAATAAATGTCATGTTGGTAGTAGCTTGCATCAAGGAGAAAAGAAAATAGACCATTGTGCTGTTAAGAGTGCTGAATCATCTCATAAGTGTGATGAAATGACACCTCCTAGTCATGAGAGTGTGAAGTTTATGGCTATGAAAAAACGGGAATCGGGCATGTGTAAAATAGCATTAGATGGGAATCGTTTTGGTATACTCAGATCCCGCTTGGGTCTGTGCACATCTATCTCTACCTGATTTAGAGGATGCTCTAAGAGGTGTTTCATCTCCAGCGTGGAATACCTTAGAGCATAGATGTTTTTGCTGGTTGTATACATGTCTTTTTATTTTTGCAGATTATTACTTTTTTAGATGGATCGTCCGAGGGGGAGTCGCTCAATATGGAATAGGTTGATGTGACAAAGTCTAGGTCTATTTTGATATTTATTATTGTAATGCTCAAGATCGCTTCAATGTTACTCTTCTCTTTTTTCCCTCAATATTCTTAATAAAACCTTTGGTATTTTTTATGCAAAAAAGGGGGAGAAGAGGATCAAAACAGCTGAGAATTAATTTTGTAAAAAAATTGCCAAAGAGGGAGATTGTTAGTTCCATATTGTTTACTATTCTTACTTGGTTTACTATTCTTGAGGAGGAAGCCATGGTTGAGACTCATAGGTAAACTCTAATAGGGTTATTCTATTCCGTATATTATCTTTTCCCTCTCTTATAGTTTTGGAGTGCGAAAATACGAAAAAACAAAAGCAAATTTGATCAAAAGAAAAAACAAGAAGGTGCAAATTTCTGGACAGCGTGCACGAATTTGATCATCACCAGAGATCTGAACATTGGATATTGCTGAAAGTTTTAGAGAGTTTTCCCAACACTTAGGGCTTCAACGTGTTCAATTTTCCTGTCAGTCGGAGTTACGAATCTTATGTTATCGAAGTTACGATCTATATATTGTTGCTGGTTTATTGCAAAAAATGCAGCTCTAGTTTTGTTGATGATCGGAGTTCTCTAATCTTGTCCGGTCGTGCAGAAATTTTAGGAGGAGTTTAAGGAATTGTGGAGCTTCAATCTGAACGGTGGAGATCAAATTCCAACGATTCAATCTTGATTTATGAGCTTCGGATCAGGATGCATATTTTTGTAGAGAAAGGCAAAATCATTGTTTGAAGTTGTACTGGAATCTACATCCTTGAAGAAGATCTTGGAGAAGGTGTAACAAGCCGTGGAGATAGACGCAAACAGAGTTTGTCGTCAAGTCATTCGTAAGTAGACAAATCAATACATTCGAAGATTTTCTTGTGATTGGTAATGTAATTCTTACGGTGATTTAGTGGAAGCGCCATTACACGGACGTGGCCCCCACAGACGTAGGAGAGTTGCTTCGAACTACGTAAACAATTCTTGTGTACTGTTCACTCCTTTTACTTTATATTCTGTGTGTGTGCTTGTGACAGAGAAGATGTTATAGCACGCTGTCTGTCATCGGTTACTGTGACAGTGCTACAGTATCTTCTCTACAACATAGTTGTTTGATCTGTTTGCGTAGCTTTCAATTGGTCATTTTCGCTGCACCCCCACGAACTTACAGATTAAATACTATTTACGTGCAATAACATTTAAAATATGAAGTAAAAGATAAGAACGAAACGCACTTATCAAATTCCTCACACTTAAACGTTGTTTTTCCTCAAGCAACAAGTTGAATAGTTATAAGTATAGAGGGAAATTAGTAATCACAGAGGAAAAGTTAAGCAACATATTATGAAGGAAGAGAGAAGTAAGATAGCCATCAACGTTTTGTGAAAACAGTTAAACTTAAAGATTCTCACCCATATTGTTAGAAATTTAAGATTAGCTTGTCAAACCAATGTTTTTGAACTAATCTTATTAACAAAATTTTTTAACCTTGCTTAGGATAAATACATTTTGTAATAAAAGTTATTAAGATCAAAGAATTTGCTCTTTTAAGAATAGTTATCAAAATGTAATGGTTTATTTTTTGGCATACTTTTTCATGTTGATACGAGTAAAATATATTTTTTAAGTCCTCATTCTGTGACATAGAACTGTTAGATAAAACGTGCAACTCTAAAGGGAGGTGAATAGAGTTGTTCTCTAAAATGAGCGTTTTTTGCGTTTGTGATAATCCGAATAAAAATTGCAGGAATAAAATAAAGAGTAAGGGAAAGAAGAACACCGTGATTTATACTGGTTCACCACCTCGTGGCTAGTCTAGTCCTCCGAGAGACTCTCTCAAAGGTCCTATTAATCTTCAAGCTTCAACGGGTGCTTGAAAAATTGATTACAACTCGAGAGCTTGAGTCACACAAGTCTTAAGAACAACCAACAAGACTTGAATCTCACAAATCCTAGCAACAACAACTCAAACAAGATGAGTTTTACAACATAAGAAATGAAGCTCACAAATGAGCAAGTAGTGTTTAAAATGTAAGCTCTATGGATGTCAATATCTTTGCACTCAGGAAAATACATTTCTAGCTATCAAAATAGTATTTTGATTATCAAGAATGGAGCAAGAGTCATAAGTGATGAAGGAGGATATTGGAGTGCTTGTATTGTGATTGGAATGAAGGTGGAAGATGGATTTTATAGGTGAAAAATGAATATGTCCGTTGTGGCAAAAGATAAGGCTAAGGATGAGATGCAGTGGACAAAAAATTGATATTTACAAAACTGAAAAAATCGATTAGGTGCTGCTGAGTAAAATTCCTACTGCGCGAAGAGGTGCTAATCGATTAATCCAAAAAGTATTTAATCGATTTTTAGCAGTAATTGATTTTAGCTAAAGCGAGAAAATCGATTACAAAGTCTGGGTGAAAACCTTTATTTGCGCATGAATAGAAAATTGATTTTTACACATAGATTAATCGATTTTTAGTGCAAATAATGCAGTGACAGCAAAAATCAATCAATGGCGGGATGATGAAGCAAGTTTGTCCATTTCTTGTTGTTTCCAACAAGATCCCTGCACCAAGGCTCCCAATTAAGGGTGGGTTCGGTTTTAACGGTTCAGTTTTTACCTAAAACCAAAGACAAAACGGAAGGCATATTGGTGGTGCGGTTCGGTTCGCTTTTGTAAAAAAAAAGAGAAAACCAATCGTTATACAGTTCGGTTTTTAGCGGTTTGAATTTCGGTTTTTTTCAATTCTTTCGGTTTTTAAAAATTTAATTTAAAAGTAAAATACTGTAATATTTTAGGTAGATACCTATTATTATATAGAAATGCCAAACAATTGGTAGAGAGTAAACTTTGCAAACCTACATGTAAAACAATAAATAAACTACAGTTACAAGCAAAAGAATTGGGAGAAATGTAGTAATTTGCAATAAAAAAACTGTAAAAAAGCAATAAACAAAAAATGTGTCATTCCAAAAAATTGCAATTATCTTTCCAAAAACTGCAAGTATCAACCCAAAATTAAAATGGTAGGCACATCTTTGAGATGCAAGAATGAATCTTCATTATTAAACCTGCAAAAAGAACATTTATATGCATTCCAATTAGCTAGGATATACTAGTAAAAAATGAACACAATACCAAAAAAATAGTATTGCCATAACTACTAGACCTAACCTTCTTCACTTATCTTGTAACTTTTGGAGGCAATTTAGACCTTTCAAGTCCACCTTCATTTGAAATTTCTAAACATAAAAAGTAAAAACACAAGAAATATTGTTGCCAAAATAAAGTCATAAAGGAATAAATTGTAGAAGAAAGAAATTCATTCTAAAAGACTAAAAAAATCACCTTTCTTAAGTTCTTCATAAAATTCCATCTCTTCAATTGTAGGCTCGTGATGTAAAGCAACATGAGTACTCTTAAGCCAATTTTGTGTGCAAATTAAGGCCTCAACCATTTTGGGGCTCAATGAACTACGAAACAGATCAATCACTCGACCAATTGTGCAGTAATAACCATGTAGTTGATGTTTTGAATGGAGGTCCAAGTATCTGTTGTAAGAGACACTCTATATCCACTCAAATCATCTTTTAATTTACTCTTCTCAACGTAAAACATGTTAAGCACATCTTTGGCAATCGTCTTACGACTTGGCACTCTCTAATGGGGGGATGCAACTCTACAAAAATAACGAAATCCTTTTGCTTCCACGAAACTAAATGGTAACTCATCTAGAATTATCATTTGCACACACGCTTTAGTAATTTCATCTTGAGAATTTCCCAGTACCTCCAAGTCTTTACTTTTGTCATAAGTTAAAATTTTTTGTCTTTGACTCCATAACTCTTTATTAGGTGGGTACTCTCTACATTTATCCATGTGATTTTTCAAAGCAGTGGTACCATTTAGTTTGGGGTGAGCAGCAAAACCTTTATGCTTGTAATAATGAAAAAAGGCTTTAATCTTACCAGACACAAACTTTCTGGTAAAATGCACCCAAATATCGGCCCTTTCGTTGGCTTTCAAAGCTGCCAAGTACTCTTCTTCTGTCATTCCACACAAGTCGATTATGTCATTTGAATTCTCAGTTGCCTCATTACATTGTATATTACTTTCAGTCGTCTCAGATGATTGAAAAGATGGCACATCAGTAATATTATCCAATGATTCAATCTCTTTCTGCATGCAAGAACAAAAAATTTTGTAGATTAAGTTATTAAAATATTAAATATATGATGTTAAATAGAAATGAAGGAATGAGTATTTTTTAAATTTTTAACGCAGTTGACTAGTTAAGGTTAATGAAAGATCTGAAATGAAATATAGCCTGAGAACGAGAAGAAGTTGTTTTTGGAACTTTAGACTGCTTTGATATTGTTGAAGAATGCCGCTTCATACTTTATATTCTATGTAATAAACTTATGATAAAAAATCAGTCACGAGGCTGTCAAGAATCACTCACTTTTCTCATGAGGTTGTTAAGAATCAATCACTTTTTTCATAAATTACTCAATATCTGCAATAATTTGTTGATTTCAAGAATCAGCAAGCTTTTTTCAAGAATTAATCTTTATCTGCAATAATTTGTTGATTTTATTTATTTTAACAGATTTCGTTTTATGGATTGAATTAGGAAAGAAAACTTCTGTGCCTTAAAAGTGAGAATTGTATAGAACAAAGAAAACTTCTGTGCTCCTTCAAAAAAAGAAAACTTCTGTGCAAATTGAAGCCAAAATTTGGGAGTTATACAAAAAAAATTAAAGAACAAAGAAAACTTCTGCAAAATATGAGAGTTATAGAAGAGAAAACTTCAATTCCTAGAATGATTTGATAAAAAAAATTAAAGAACTTTCATACCTTCTTGGTTAGATGCTTCAATCTTGGACAAAATTTGAAGATTCTCGTCAAAAATTGAAGATTGTCGTCAATCTTGGACAAAAATTAAAGAACACAGGCTGCGATTAAAGAACTTCCGATTCGGACTGCGTCACTGCGACGGCGGAAGGTGGAAGAGCACAGGCTGCACAGGGAAGAAGATTCAAGAGCGTCTGCCTGAGTCTGCGTCTCTGGCTCTCTGCGATTCAGAACTCCGAAGTCGGAACAGTCGCAAGTGTTGGACTGCGTCTCAGACGTCTCTGCTTGCGGATTTGAAATCTGAAGATTTGAGGAGTCTGACTATTGACCGTAAAGGCATAAACCTAAAATGTATAACTAAGTACTATTCAGTCGGTTGTTAGCGGTTCGGTTTGGTTTTAAATAGCCAAAACCGTAATCGAAACTGAATTCAATCGGGTTCGGTTTTTTGAGTTCAGTTTCGGTTTTCACCAGTACGGTTTTTTTTGGTATTGTTCGATTAATTTCGGTTCGGTTTCGATTTTCCGGACCCAGCCCTACTCCCAATCACATCCTCATTAATTCAAAAATAATTTTGAATTATTTGAGAGTGATTTGTGAATGATGGAGTGAAAAGTGGAGTCCAAAATATTTTATGTGTCAAACAATGTCAAATAAAAATTTGAGTAAAATATTTTTACTTTCTAAAAATATTTTCTAATATCAAAATAGTAATTTTAAAAATGTTTGACATATCTTTTGTAACTGACTCAATAAATTTATTTTTGAATTGCTAAAAAATTTTCAACTGACTCCAAAAATAAATATACTTTTTAATGTATAACCCTCAAAAAATAATTTTAAGTAGAAAGATATTTTCTCATCCTTACAAAATTTCCTAGACTCAGAAATAAATAAAAGTCTTCGAAATACTTCTCTTCACTTTGAAATCTTGCATAGGGATTGTGAATGCCGAAAAATTATTGTTGTAAATTTCTTGATGTGCCTCTTTGCTTTCTTGAACCGGAAAAATAAATTTTCGTTCTGCGTTGCGTTTGTTATTTATCAAAACCTTAAAAAAATAGTTTCAAGAAATATCTAAAGGGGTTTGAACTCATGTCCAAAAAGAACCACGAGCTTTTTGAAATAATTTAAATCCTCATCACGTGACATAGAACCACGAGTTTTTTAGATAATTACTCCAGAAACTCTCATCACACAACATAGAACCGCATGCATTTTGACTTTAACACTCAAAAGCCTCGTCACGCGACATAGGACCGCGTGCATTTTGGAACTCACCTAGCCTCAGGAGTTGACATAGAACCAATCGCTTTTTGGCTAAAAAGCTCAATCTCACCAAAGTATGTAAAAAGACATTCCCTTACATTAAACTCTTTATAAAGAAGCAACAAATACTTAGATTCCCAAAGATCAAAGAGTATTCGCAAAAAACTTCAATAAAGCATTATAGATTATGTGATCTTAAAAACACCTAATACAACTCAATTTATCCTAAGTAATTTTATAAAACATTCTCAAAAGTTTAGAGTAAAAACAAAAGTTTGAGAAAAAAATTAAAAATTTTCATTTTTTATGGGTGATAACCAAAAATTAATTAGTTAAACACAAAAGAGTTGATGATTATTTCATAAAATTATTTCCTACAAATATATATATAAAACAATTCCTAAAAAGATTATTTCAACCAGAAACTCTCACCCCCTTGCCTTATACAGAACCGCACCCTCGCGGGTGAAAAGTGCTTGGAATAGGAGTTTATGGTGAAAATGTCCACATGCAATTACTAGGTTGTCCTCATACTTATAGGATTAAACAATGAAAAATGAAATAGCAATTAATCAAAATCATAATAAAGATTTGGAGAAAAGGACACAAAACATCGAGAACTTCCACAAATGTAATTTGAAAGAGTCTTAACCAGGAATTCCAAATTAAATCAATTTTAGATCATCAAAATCATGTTCAAAATAGTAGAGATAGATGTTGGAAAAAGAGAATTTATTAAGGAAGCCAATATCGTTTCAGTAGCTGATTTCAACAAGGATTGCTAGATCAATAAGCATCCAAGGCTGCATAAACTTTGTGCTTTCCCCAGGTGTGGGACCTCTTCTTTGCTTCCTCTGCAAGGTATGCCCTACGATTCTCCCATCTGCTAAAACAAAGACAACAAACAAAATAACTCTTGCCCCAAAACTTGTGCGGCAAACATATCCTCAAAAACTATTATATTCTTTTTGTTTAAGAATGACGGGTTGCCTCTCGTCAAGCGCTTCTAAACAGTGAGAAGATCCATAATCACTACGGGTAGTTGGTGAAAGAGAGGTGAGAAGATCGTTCTAAATGGTCTTCACCCAAGCTAATTAGAAGAAATTAAACTAAAACCATGTCACTCCCTGGCAACGGCGCCATTTGATGTATTGTAGTTTTTTGAGTAGCAAACCTTCCCAATAAAGGGTTAGTTTTCTCTCCGAGGGTCATGTCTCTTGAGGAGTGGACGAAGGGAATTAGCTAATTTCTCTAACTAGGTGAAGGTTAGTACAGGTTTATGAAAGTCTTCTCAGTACGGATAAAAAAGGAAGTATGACAGGAGTAAATTTATTTACATAGTATAAGCAAGATCTAGACCTAGGGTCAGGACATCATCTGGGTTGACTATATCACATTTAATTAACAATTAGAACGATCGCATTTCTACAATTATTCACCTATTACTAGGATTCGTAATTTCCTTGTTTGTTTTGAATACTACAGCCTTACATCGTATAATATTTTTTGATATATAGCTAATTAACTCTTTCAATATTAATTAATTAAATAAGGCAAGAACAATTTCAGGATAATCATTCCAAAATTAATTGAACATTCAAAGTATATGCCCAAACTAGTCCGGACCCAGAGCCAGGGACCCTAATTCATAATATGCAAAATAATTAAAATAACATTATATTAAAATGGGAAACGTACAGTCTCTAAACAAGCGGAATAGAAAGGATCTGAATATAAGAAGAGATTCAGGCTACAGGTTTCTCCGAGAAACTCCAAAAATTATAGTAATTGAAAAACTCAAAACTATATACAACAGGGAGAAGAATGGAGAGGAGATGAAAAATGGGGAGGGGGTTAGCTGCTTTTATAGGAGACGGAGTGGGGGCGTCCAAGTCGGGACCACCGATGACGCATCGGTTTCACTAAAACTCTACCACGTGTCAGTCATTTCGTAGCCTGCAAGAAGTCCCGGGTGTCCAAGTCCGGGCGTCCAAGTTCGACGCCCCACCCTCGCTTCTGGGCTTCTGCACGCGTTTCAGCCCTAGTTTCGCTCTTTCGCGCCCCAAATGTTGATTTTGGCCTCCCGTGAGCTCGTTCAAGCACAAATCTTGATCTCTTGAAGATTCTTTCTCTTTTTCACAAGTATTATAACATAAAATTGATGATTTAAGATGATTTCATGTGGAATTCCTTTTTATGACTCTTTTTTTGAACCGAAAGCAAATATATTTCATCACCAAAGTTCACCATACAATACAAAGACAAAAAACTCCCAGACTACTCCTAAAACGACATATTATAGAGCAGCACAAAACAGATAACACTCCTAAACTTTCTCCCTTCCAAATAAACTCCCACTTGATATACTATCTCCCTAAAAACCTCCTCTTCTGTTTTATGTTTTCCTTGAAATTTTTTTTGATTTCGGGCCTTCCAAATCGCATAAGCAGTAGCTGCAAAAATAGAGATAATCTTCCTTCGTTTCTTCACTGGATGTATCTTCAAGCATCCCCTCATCAAGTCTATAAGTTTTTGGCCAGCAAAATTATAATTACACCATGGCAAGAGTTTTCAGTAGATTGCCTTAGTATATTCACGTGTTGGACATCCTCCTGGCCTTTTATACATAGTTGGCATAAAGTGTCAATAGATAAGAATCTGGCCATCTTGCATTTAGTTTGAAGTTTTCCCCTGCAAATCAACCATAAGATGAATTTGTGCTTTGGGATTGTAAATTTATTCCACACCAACCCATCCCAGTCTGCCTTTTGTTTCTCTCCCAACAACCAAGTGTATCCTGCGTTTGGTTTATAGGCAGTAGTATCCATCTCAGCAAAGCAGTCTCTCACCTAGATCAGTTTCTTCCAATAAAAGCAGCTATCATTTCTACTATGATGATCCCAAATACTTCCCTTCTTCAGATATTTTATATGTACCCATTTGATCCAAAGGGCATCCTTCTTCAATGAAATATCCCAAATCAGTTTCATGATATTCGCCTTATTCCACAAAACTAGGTTTTTGAATCCAAGCCCCCCGTATTTTCTGGGCATACAGATGTCCTCCCAGGCTACCAGAGGAATTCTTTTCCTTTCTTGGGTAGAGCCCCAAAGGAAATTTCTGCAAAGGGCTTGAACCTGCTTCATCACCTTAGTAGGAATTACAAACAGCCTACACCAAAAACCGATAATACCATATAACACAGAGTTGATCAGTTTGCATTTTCCTGCGTAAGAGAGGTTCTTTGAAGTCCAGGCAGTGATCTTAGTTGTCATTTTCTCAATAAGCCTTTCACAATCCTTAGCACTGATTCTAGATGAGGTAATAAGACCCCCCAGATATGTGAATGGCAGTTGTCCTTTCCTCATCCTGGTTAATTGTAGTAGCTCGTTTTCCTCCTGAGGTTTGATTCCTCCAAAGATAATTTCAGATTTCCCGTAATTGATATTGAGTCCAGTGGTATCCCTGAAATGTTGCAAAGCTCTCATAATACAGGTGATGGATTTTATATCTGCTTTACAGGCAACTATAAGATCATCAGCAAAGATAATATTGATGAGTTTCAGAGACTTGCACATTGGATGATAACCAAAATGCTCTTTAGATGCAAACCACAGAAAAGCTCTTGACAAGTATTCCATAATGATGACAAATAGCAATGGAGAAATTGGATCTCCTTGTCTAATGCCCTTACCCCCTCTGAAATAACCAAAATTCTCTCCAGCAAAATGTATTGAATACGAGGTAGTAGTCACACAGTATTTTATCCAGTTAATAAATTTTGAAGGGAACTTCAACAAGGTGAGGACCTGGATAATGGCCTTCTAACTCACATTGTCATATGCTTTTTGTAAATCCAGTTTCATTAAGCACCTGGGAGAGATGTTCTTTCTATTGTATCCTCTTGCAAGTTCTTGACATAGAAGAACATTGTGTACCAGCTCTCTTCCTTCCACAAAGGCTCCCTGGTTCAAATTGATGATACTAGGCAAGACCTTTTTAAGTCTATTGCAGATGATCTTAGCTATAACTTTATATATGACATTACAACAAGCTATTGGCCTAAGATCAGTAGGGCTTTTTGGATCTTCACATTTGGGAATGACCACAAGATTTGTAGCATTGATTTGTTTGATGGTGTCCTCCTTTATAAAAAATTCTTGAATAGCTTGGGTAACCAGGCCCCCCACTTTCCTCCATTGGCTTTTAAAGAATCCACTGCTGAATCCATCAGGACCTGGACTCTTATTATTGGGAATTTCAAACATGCATTTCCTAATTTCTTCAGTTGTAATAGGGGAAATTATCTCCAGCTGTTATCTAATTGTCAAGCAGTCTCCCATTCTGATAATCTCTCCATTAATATCTTTAGTTGGATTAGATCTGCCCAATTGTTTTTGATAAAACTCAACCAACACCTCTGCTACTGCCAGCTTGCCTTCAACAACGATCTGTTCTGTATTCTTTATGGATGTTAGGTGATTAGTAGCCTTCCTCTTCACCCATGCATAGAAAAGTTTAGAGTCATGATCCCCAAAAGTAATCCAATCTGCCTTAGCTTGTTGCTTGCGTAAAAGAAAAATGGCCTTTAGTTTAAGGTGAAGCTCCTGGGTTAGGATTTTTTCAGAAAACAACAGGTGTTCATCATTTATATCATTCTTTAGAGCTGCTTGGGTGAGATATAATTTGGTGCGCAGGATATCGACTTGCTTATCCAAATGTTGGAATTTATCTCTATTAAGGGATCTCAAAGGGCCTTTAAGCAGTTTAAGTTTCTGGATGACTTGATACATCAAAAAACCTCCATGCTTCAGGTCCCAAACATCTGCTACCAAAGAAGAGAAATTAGGATCTAGGGCCCACATATCACAGTACTTGAAACAGAAACTATGCCCCTCCTGTTTCATATGTTTCAAGATCATTGGAGAATGATCTGAAATACCTCTCTCCTTAAAAAAACACCTTAAAGTCAAAATTAATGGTCCATTCTACATTACCCAACTACCCAAGACCCTGTCCAACTTAGAATAGATTCTTGTTTCTTTGCACTGGTTGTTTGTCCAAGTATATTTTGAACCTTCAAAGGGGAGGTCATCCAGTCCACAAGTGTTTATGTAACGCCACGAAACATGGCCTAAATTTTATAAAACAAAAGTAGTTTTGAATATTTTTGTCCAATAAGAAACATTTATACGTTTGACTAAAAATAAATGGATTTTCAAAATAATGACTTTTCTAAGAGCAAGTCTAAGAGTATATTCGACGCAAGTCTTCATGAAAAAAATCCAAACACGTTACATCTATCATCCGCGTATATCCTTTCTCAAAAGAGAAAATGTCATACTCATGACACTCAACAAAAGAAAGAGAAAACAAATTCTCAAAATTAATGTTTTACAAAAACAATGGAAATTCATGATTCTGTACATCATCATTTAAATGACTTCTCACCTAGGGAATTTCGGGGACGAAATTTCTTTAAGGGGGGAAGAAATGTAACGCCACGAAACATGGCCTAAATTTTATAAAACAAAAGTAGTTTTGAATATTTTTGTCCAATAAGAAACATTTATACGTTTGACTAAAAATAAATGGATTTTCAAAATAATGACTTTTTATTAAAAACTTACTTTTATGGATATGTCTCGAAGAGACGAATCCAACGGTACATTTTAAGAACCAATCTGATTTATAGATTTCAAGTTATGTCAATTTTAAATATTAAAATTTGTAACTTTGACCCATAAAATAAACTCAATTCAAAAGTGATTTTATAAGATTAGAAATCATAATTTTGACACTTGACAACACCATATTTATCATTTGGATTTAATCCATATATTTATATCTCATTCATATTATTAAATTGATTTATGACTGAGACAGACNTACTTTTATGGATATGTCTCGAAGAGACGAATCCAACGGTACATTTTAAGAACCAATCTGATTTATAGATTTCAAGTTATGTCAATTTTAAATATTAAAATTTGTAACTTTGACCCATAAAATAAACTCAATTCAAAAGTGATTTTATAAGATTAGAAATCATAATTTTGACACTTGACAACACCATATTTATCATTTGGATTTAATCCATATATTTATATCTCATTCATATTATTAAATTGATTTATGACTGAGACAGACGCGGACACTGTGAAAAATAAAAATTCTCAGAAAAATATTTTGATTACGTCAAAATTCTAGTTTTGACAGTCTGATTCCAAAAATACAATTTGTTTTCAATTCGGAACAGTTTGGGCGAAAAAGCGCGTACTGTTTTAGTCAGTTTATCAGTTACGGAGTAAGAGAATAAATTTGATTCCCCAAAATCCTCCAAGTCACGTTGAGACACTCCCATCCCTTCCAATCCTCAATCAAACCAACCCCACTACCATATACCTCCAATTCCTATTCCCTATAATATCACCCTACCACCACCATCATTATCTTCCACTCTCATCACCATCATCCACCACCATTCATTCATCCATCCATCCCTCTCCATTCTCTCCTTGTCGGCAGTCCAAGGAAGGAGAAAACACAGTAGCAATACTCCATGAAAATATGCTACGGAAGAAGAAGAAGGAGCAAGAAAACCATTCAAGTGTCCAAAATCCTAAGCATAAGACAATCAGTCCACTTGTGAGTCAATTCTGAAATTTTCCGTTCATTTTATCAAAATGTTTATTATACCAAAGTTGTAGCCGCGGACGTTACGAATCCAACCCAACAAACGGCTTGCGATTTCGTTAAGTAACGAAGAAGATATGGCCAAAATACCGGGACTGCGCCAGTGGTGGCGAGCTCCTCGGGTTGGCATGTTTTTTCTTCACCAAAATTCACATTATTTCATCCCAAATACTTACCATAAACTCTCTAACAATTATTAGGAACATCCGGAAGGTATTGCAAAGAAAGTTCGGCGTTGGAATGTTGAAGTTAGTGAGTTAATCGTCGGAATCATGTTCATTGACATACCCGAAATTCTGGACAGCAACTTTCTATTGACTTCAGGTCCGATTTACGCTATCTTACATATGTTAAACCGAAATACTTTCTATACGAAAGTTATAGCCTTACATCTTAGGAATCCACAGAATCAAACGGTTTACAATTTCGTGAAGAAACGATGGAGATATGCCCAAAATACCGCAGGATGTCCAGTTGTGACGGAAATGACAAAGTTGGCGAATTTTGATGTTGTTTCCACTCCCGCTCGTCCGTAAGGTTTCGGCCTATGATGTCCAGGTCTGTACCCTTGCGTTAGACTTGTCGAATCATTCATTACATACGTACATGAACATATATATTAATCCATATGTTGAAACCATCCCAAAATATATATGTGATGCATATATAAGTCATCTATATGTTGAGATCAAAATACACCAAATCCATAAAGTTAATATACACATAAGTAAATATAAACTTTGGAAATCAACCCAACAATATGTATAGATTAATAAAAGGTGTTTAAAAGACTTAAAGAAGTATTTTGGACACTCAAAATATCAAGAGAAAGATTCGCAGACCCAAACGGTTGACACAAATGGTCGACCGTCATATTAAACTTCGAAACGGACCACTACTGTCAGCAAAACGGTTGACCGCCGTCGGCGAACGGTCGACCGTCGCCAGCCCAGCAGAACGCCGCCGTTCCAACAAGTCAACAATGGTCGACTGCCGGTCAACCACGGTCGACCGTCACGGTGATCCAGAAATCCGACGAGTTGAAATATAGCACGGTCGACTGCCGTGCTAAACGGTCCACCGTTCCGAGCCCCGTAGCTTAATTAAATGATATTTTTATCAGATCTCACCCAAATAAAATAAAGTATATTTATCCATTCATATTGTTTACAAATTGTTCATATCATATGACTCATATCATCACACATATTGTAGCATATCATATCATATGCATGCGTAAGAGATCATGCGTAATTGTGTCTCTTATAGCGTGATGTGCGGGACTTAGCAGTCCGACATCACCCGTTCCGGGCTTAGTGTACGTACATGGTGTTCAGGTTTCGAGTACCACCCCTATTTTTCTAGTCTCTCCTCATTCGTGAGACTAAGGCCGCGTGAGTTCGTCGTACCAAATGGGCGAATCTCATAGCGCAAGGGTGTCCTTGCAAGTTATAGGATCATGCATCATGTTACCATCATCAAGTACAATTACATTGATTACATAGGTGTCATGTAATCATCATCAAGAAAAAGTATATTGATTACATGGGTATCATGTAATCATCCTCACAAGCAAATTGATTAAATGTGCCATCATGTAATTATCATTAAATATTTATCATCATGATTCATCAAATTGACCATATGATAATATGTGTCATATCATGAATGTTACTATGCATTTTGTGGACGTATATATATGTATATGTATATGTTTGAGAATCATTCTACAGTTCTAGCATGGTACCACTCAGCGGTTTCGCTGAGCGTGTAGTTTGTATTTTTCGTTGACTACACGTAGGTAACAAGAAGACAATGATGGAACCACTCCCGGAGGGCATTGAGTCAGAGGAGATGCAAGGATGGCAGGCAAATGTTGATCATCAGATTTTAAAATGTGTCATGATTTGATTATTATTGTATTTCCGTATTACTCTGAAAATATTTTTAAATGGGTCGCGATCCAGAGTCTTTAAATTTAATATTTATAAGTAATTGTCATTTTCGAATGTCAAGCGAAATTTTTATTTAACTCTCGTTTTACCTTAATTCGTGTAATTCCGGGTTATACGGATTGGGGTGTTACAGTTTAAGCATTCCCTAAACACTCTAGTTTCTTCCCAATTTGTGATATTTCCTCCTATTCTTTCATCCAAGTTGAGGACAGTGTTGAAATCTCCTAGTACACACCAGGCTTCATTTGTAGATATTCTCAACAATGTATCCCATAGTTCTTTCCTCCTGTTAGCCTCGTTTTGTGCATAGACAAAGGACACAAAAAACTCATGATCATCTCCTACAAACCTCCCTTTGCAGTGGATAAACTGATCAGTTTCTTCTATCACTCTAATACAGACTTTATTATGATCCCAAACAACCCAGATTCTGCCTAGAGGATGAGCTTTATTGTTGATGTAAGAACTCCATCCCACAAACATACTATCAGCTACTATATTATACTTCTCATCCCTTATTTTTGTCTCCAGTATACCAAATAAACAAATATTATATTGCTTAATGATACTTTTTACTTCATACTATTTATTAGGGCTGTTTAGCCCTCTAATGTTCCAACATCCAATCATTGCAAAAAAGGACGGTGCCCCTTATAGGGGGCCAACCTAAGATCAGCATGTATTCCTTCCAGATTTATATCACTGCTGTCCAGGGAAAATCTCCTTGCAGCCTTCTTCTTACTAACCTGTATGAATCCTTCCTCCTCATTACTGACAGACTCCTTGCTGTTTTGTGGATCAGTATGGACTTGCACAGGAGTTGGTTTAATGGCCTCAGCAACCTTTTCTTCATTCTTAGTATCCTTTGGTCTCCAAATATATTTTGGCTTTTTTGGAGCATCTGTAGGAGGGTTCTTCTTTCTACAGTTTATCAGTTCATGCCCAATTTTGTTGCAATGGGAGCATAAAAAAGGGGCTCACTCATACTTCACAGACTGGGAGATAATTCTTCCCTCTTCATTCAGGAAGTGGATTTGGTCAGGAAAAGTTTGATTAACCTGTACCTCTATTAGGATTCTAGCATAAGACCATTTCCTTCTAGACGCTCTGGCTTTGTCTCTTTTCACTGGCTTCCCTATAGCACTTCCAAGTTTTCTTAGGCCTGTTAAACTCCAGTATTTCATTTCCGGTTCTGAGAATTGTACCCATACAGGTATATCCTTACGAGACATTACATCCACTTTGCATCCTGGATACCATTTCTGTACGTAAACAGGCTTATTGTCCATGAAATAGTAGGTGCATTTGAGGATTTCATCTCTGTCTTCCTCCTTAGCAAATCTAACAATGAATTGACTTTCCTTTAAGAAGGATATGTCCTCAATATCATAGGTTTTCCATATTTTAGATAGAAATCCTTTTATTATATCCAATGGAGGATTTGCTCCTAAAATGCAGCAGACTAAAGCAGAGTTCCAGTATTTTCCAGGTTCAATCACATCATCCATGGATAAACGAATAATTTGCTTACCATCAAGTTCCTCAGCTGCAATAAAGGACAGATTTAGATTCAGGTCCTCCTGAATTCCTACAACTTCTGCAAATGTTTTCTTCTTATTTGGATCCGGTTTAGTAATCACGCTGGCTAGTTGATCCTTCAAATCTTCATTCTTTTCGCTATCAATCTGATTCTCCACCTCCCTCTCTTTCGAATTAGATGCTTTCGATGTAGACGGCGATTGCTGGATTTCATCAGAGCTCGGATTATCTGAAGCTTTTCCGATTGTTTTTGACGGTAGCCCTCTCTTCCCCATGGCTAGAGAGAGAAACCGCTTGATATTTTTTATGACTCTTAAAACGAAAACAATAGTTTATTTGTGTAAAACATATTTTATGAGATGATTAAATACAATATACGTGCAATAACATTTCAAATATAAATTAAAAGATAAGAAAGAAACGGACTTATCAAATTGATCTGATCTACATGGATATGATATGATCTGATTTGAATCGATCTAGTCTGATCTAAATGGATTTGATTTGATCCGAATGGAATTAATTCAAATTCAAATTATTATTAATTATTCTTGTTAATTATTATTACTAATTATTATTGATATAATACAATAATAATTTTTATTATTAATAATTTTTATTTTAATTATTATTATCATTATTAATTTAATAATTATATTTATTATTATTAATTATTATTATTACTTTTACTGATATTTAGTGTAATGATTATTGATGATGATTACCCTTATTAATCATAATGTATGATAATAATAATAATTTCTTATTAATTTTTTAATAAATATTATTAATGGTATTACAATAATAAATTTTAGTATCAAGAATTATAATGGTAATTACGAATTATTATTACTATCATTATTATTTTAATGATTCTATTTATTATTATCATCGTTATTTTTATTATTAAGTGTTGTGATTAACGATAATGATTATCATTATTATTTATAATTATTATTTTAATAATAACAATAATGATAATTAATTATTTTAGTAATTGTTATAAATAATATTATTATTTTAATTTTATTAATAATATTAATTTCTTTTTTATTTTTTATTAACAATATTAAAATTATAATTTTTATTATTAGTAGTTATTATTCTAATTAATAATTATTACTCTATATTATTTCAATTATTAAATTTATTTTTATTATGATTAATAATGATTATTATTAATATTAAGTGTAATGATTAATGATGAATATTATAAATTATTATATTTACAAATAAATATAATTATGAAATGCTATTATCAATATTATTTATTATTATTCGTTAAAAATAATTATTAATCATTATTATTGTTTTGGATTTAATTATTCTTATTTTAATTTTATTATTATTAATTACTATTAATAATTATTAACATTATTCTTATTATTAATGAATAATGATAATAATTATTATCATTGTTATTATTTTAATTAATAAAATTATTGTAATATTGTTTATTTTTTTAAAATAATATTTTAATCTCAATGTATCTGATCCGATCTAAATAGATCTGATCTCATCTGAAGTAATCTGAATAAATCTGATTGGATCTAAACAGATTTGAATTAACTTGATCTGATTTGAATCTGATAAGAATAAGCAATAAGTAGCAGAAATAAGTGAAAGAAAACGACACCTTAATCGGACAATTAATAAAAAAAATGAAAAGTTTATTTTGAGACGAAAAAGAGTTCGCTCCTTTGTCCCAAAAGCATCAATGTCTCCAATGGGTATGGTAAATTTTTATAGATGGTATTGTTTTTTAGACTATCAATAATTCAACAATGTTTTAGCCATCCACTTTTTCATAGTTACCCCAACCATATCTTTTAAATAATACATTTTTATTATAATTAATTATTTTTAAAATATTTATTTGAGATAATACTTATATTTTTAAAATTTCTATGGTACATATGTTAATATGTTTCAAACTATACATATGTTGAGTATATTATTAAGAAACATGAAATATAAATTTGGTCTAATAAATATATAGAGAAAAAAATACAAGATGTGAATAGTAAACTGTATTAATATAAGGTGAGATTTATTTTTTACAAAATAGTGCTAATTTTACACTACCAATTGGAGTGATAATTTTACTATAATGCCTTGTATATCTTGTATTTTTTACAATATACAAGACCATTGGAGATGCTCTTAATGTATTACGTATTTCTCTCTATTTGAAAAGTGTCCCACTATTTCTCTTTTAGGAATAAAACTTCACCAACAATAAAATTGGGTGAGCCATTTTTTCACACCATTATTACTTTCTGTTCACACGAACATGCTAGCATACACTGTCAAAATTAGTTTTAAGGTGGTACAAAATTAGTGTCAAACCAAAGAAGAAAAATCTCAAAATGAACTATTCAATTTGCAAAAAAAGAGCCCAAATCCACAAACAACACATGAAATAGAATATTCTCATTCAACTTGGAAATCATGAAAAATGACTTTATCTTGCAAACAAGACAATCTCCATGAAACCTTAGTCCTTAGCTTCCCAGGCAGATCTCACAGCCATTACCTACTGTCAACGTGCTTCATATTGCACAACTGCACCATCACAGATTCACAGTAAGTGTCCATTCAACAAAAAGTGTGCAACATTTCCTAAATTCATATTGTTAAATCAATCTAAACATAAATTGAAACTTCGGGAAAAACAGGGCACTCTCTAAAATTGCCATCATTATCAAAGAAAGGTTAATTAACCCTAAACATGTCACTAAAAGAAAGGTGGGTGAGACCAGGAAGGCTAACCCTAGGCCTACCACTAAGGAAGTTAATCTTAAACCAACCACAACACATTCTCTTGTTTTATAAAAAGGTTATACCCCAACCCATAGGGTCCCCAGTACCGGCACAGACATAGTAGGCTGGGAGAAGTTAAAACACATTTTCTTGCTTCATGGTTATATGCTGTGATGTGGGAAAAGTACTTTACTTGCAAGTTACAACGTGATTATTTCTTTTGGAAAACGGGCGTGACTAATAATAATTGACTTATTGTAGCATTGCCCCTAGGTTGCAAGATATCCAAAGAAGATGCCTTTCTAGTCCTTGCTAGGATATTGTTTGCTGGGCTAAGAAGGTGTAAATCAGCTCTAGATGAAAAATCTTCATAATTAAAGATTACCATGAGCTTAGTCTTTCGATAAAGAATTACAAAATCTATCTGAATTTAGCTGCTCACTTTTCTTTTTTGGGCTTCTGATAATAAATCTTCACTACCTTAGTAGAGATCTTGGATGCCAATAAACCAACCTTTGTGAGGGGTTAAGACGAGAATACACCAACTATCTTTGTACTGTAAATCATTATAAATATGAGAAACTTTTCTTCAAAAACTTTTACATATGAATGTTAACTATGATTTAATTAAAAAAAATTAATAAAAGCATCGTACCGCAATAATTATCTCACTTTCAAAATTCCATAAATTTCTAACAACACATTTTTCAATTCACACGTTGTGGCCTGTTAAACAGAAATACCCTCAAATTCTAAGGTGAGTTCTATTGTCCAATCCTCCAAGGGTTGGTTTATTGGCATCCAAAATCACAATTTCATTAACGAACTATAGGGTATAGAAAATTTACTTCTGCGGGTTCGCTTCTTGTAGAGAATGCGATAGCCGCAATCACGGCACTGAATTACATCCCCAGGCTTCAGTGTGTTCTCTTGCCCACAATCTGCAGGCCATCAGCCATTAATCAACAGAGCCCAAACCTATACGCTAATAAGTAAACGGAATTGCGTACCTCCGCAGACGTAGGCGACGGGTTCCGGTTGAGGCTGTAGAGGCGGTTGAGTATTCATTCCCACTGGCGCTTTTCTCCTCTGGCGATTGCCTCTTCTTCTTCTTTATATATATTGGTAGAATGGTAGCGGCTACTTTAGGGTTAGACAATTTATGATATCCGTGTCCAATTACAATTTTTATTCTTATCCATGACTATTATTTATTTATGCAATTTCATTAAATATTTAATAAAATCAAATATTTTAATCACATCTTATTTTGTATAATTTTTAACGTAGTTTTTTAAGATTTAAATTTTATTTTCTTACTAATATACCGATTTGTAAAAAATAATTTGAAAAAGTGGAAGATTTTTTCTCGTAAACCCAAATTTGTAAATAAATTGGGGACGGAAGGAATATCTCAGTAGGACCCTTATTAGGAACCAAACTCGAGAAAAACTAAGGATTGTTATATATTTTCAAATCATCGTGGGGCGTTGCACGAGTTCGGTTCCTATATATTTTTATAAGATTCAACACACAATTTACCTAGTGCTTGCCCTTTTTCATTCTCATCAAACCTGTGAATTTTTAGAGGTTGGTGGACCACCAAGAACCTGTACCTATAATATATTCTAGACTAAGAACTTTCTACTTTTTTGGAATCATGATTGTTCCCACTAGATCAACGGGTCATGCTCAACCAACGAAGGTGTTCTTTGTTAGGTGGGTGGAATCCCCATTAATGGATCCCCAGGCAGTTCAAGGATACTCATACATACGTGTTTACTCGATTAGTCATTGGGCCTAGAAGGCTCCACATGGCTTAAACTCTTAATGTCCTAATATTGAGTAATAATAAATAATGACCTAGTATTGGGTATCAATACACAAACTTATTGTCATGCAATACACTTGTCTTAAACTTCATCCTCGATGGTAAACTAATTCGGGAACAAAAGATCACTGTCAGACAGCATCTTAATGTCCTAATATTGAGTAAGTCCTAGAGTTCCTCTAGGTAGACTTACCTCATTCATAATGTTGGACCAACACCAAGTAACTCGTACTTTGTCGTGCTATATCAACTCGCTCTTACAGTTGAATTCAAAGTTGGAAACAACCCATAATAGAATATACGTGTTGGATCAACACAAAATAATCACAATCATAATAAATAGTGACCTAGTATTGGGTATCAATACACAAACTTATTGTCATGCAATACACTTGTCTTAAACTTCATCCTCGATGTTAAACTAATTCGGGAACAAAAGATCATTGTCAGACGGCACCTATCATGGTACCTGTGTACTGGCGAACATTACCTAGGTACCGCCACATGATACTAGGATACCGTACGAGGCAGTGACCGGCAACAAGGAATGGACTGTGGCGCTACCTGGCTATCGTCCATCCAGCTGTGGGTACCGACCGAAAGCAGCGAGCGGCAGAGCCGAATGAACTGTAATGGTAGCTCGGTACTAGCAGGTGGTACCAACCTACCGTCTAACGACCACAACCTGGTGTAGTGTGGGTTTCGCAATCCAACATTGTTTCAGAGTCCCAAATCCAATACTAAACTTTTAAAACAACAACATGTGATTCATATCACACATTGAACATATCCAATAGTCTTTCAATAGCCAAAATCATGTTTCTACCCGTTCTGATCCCATTGAATGACCCAAATCCCTCAACATGTGGTTCATACAAGTTTCATGCAATTCGATCAACATAAAAATATGATATTAGATTTGAAACCAAAAATATTGCCTTAACGTTAGGGTTCCACGTACTTAACTCAAAACAAAAAAGATTAAACTACGATAAACGAAGATTAGAGGGGGCGATGGGTGCGACAATGGACTGGATCTCCATTATCTTCTTCTTCTAATTTTCTTCTTCTTCTTCTTCTTATTCTTCTCCTTTTCTCGTTCTTCTTCTCGGCTCTGTCAAGTTCTGGTGCTCACGGTCGCACGAAGAAACGAGGGAGTCAGTCGTGTGGCGTATGTATGGTCACACGTTCCTCGAATTTTTTTGGGCCAACTCTCTCTGAATTAAGATCTATTTGCACTGTTTGATTTGTCTCGTCGAACCCTTACACAACAGTATTAATTTTATAATTTATTAATGAATATTTCCAATTAATCTCAGGTTTTTCTCAATAAGTAATTAATTGTTTTTAAGTAATTCATTCTGATAAGCTGGGTTTCGAGGTCTTACAAATTGTTTGCTCTCTATGAACTTTCGCGTTGAGTTAAGGTCTGCGTACATACACCTCCTCAGACCTTATGACCGTGAAATTCAACCAAGTTATTGTTGTTGTTTTAATGAGCAAAATAGTAAATAATTTGATTGTATGAATAGTATTTTTTGTAGGATCATTTTCTGGAACTTCCCAGTGGGATCCTGGGCACGCTTAACTACAGAGTTCTGAAGTTAAAGAGGTGCCAAATGCTTCCTAAAACCAATTGGTGATAGGAAGGTGGACACTTTGTATTTAACCACATCTCTGTAGCCCCAAGCTAAGGTAAATTCCTATAGGGCACCCCCTATAGTTCACTATGGAAGAGCGGAGCCCCACTACTCAGCGTTGGATGGACAGGAGGGCTTCGCAAGATACACGACTCATGTACCTCGTTAGGTTGGGCTGTCAGTACCCGATACCGTGACTAGCACAATAGCGAATCTCTAAGTGTGATTGATGGTCACCCATAAGACTAACATTTTTAGAGATAATTTGGCTTGTGGGAGAGTACTATGGAAGGAGTACTTCTCCCTTTTAT